AAAAGATGTGACCCTGCAGTCTGCAGGATTGTAATCGGTCAGGATCTTCATAAGATTACTTTATATGCTGATGATGTTTTATTATTCTTGTCTAACCCTACAAAAATCAGTAAATCGTCTAATAGAAATGATACATTTATTTTGTACCTTTTCTGGTATAAAAATGTATTTCTCCAAATCTGAGGCTATGTCAGCAACAGACACCCAAATCTTTTACTTCCTCCCCTTTAGAAATGGTCTCTGATGGGTTTTGTCTACTTGGGTATATTTCCAACATCCCAGTTTGATCAGATGTTTAAAGCTTATTTATGCAATAAGATTAAGCAAGATCTTGAACTTTACAACTCACTCCCTATGTCCTGGTTACATGGGGTCTCACTTCTTAAGATCAATGTTCTCCCACATCTGCTCTATCAAGCGAGGATGATTCAAATAGAAAAAAAATTTAAAAATATAAATGAAAGTTTCATCTGGTCCAAAAGATGGGCACTCATAAAGAAGTCAACTTTGCAGCTTCATAGAATTTAGAAAATATCAATTGAGACGTCTTCTTCAATTTAGCTTTATATTGAATCTTCAGCGTCTGAGCACCCTCTTTCAAACCTAATTGTTATGAAGAATATGAAAACTGTAAAAGATTGGTTTTTTTTCTTGTTCTTGGTTTCCTCCCTCAAGGACTGGAGGGAAGTGCAATGGATTGCAGTGAGAACTGAAATAACATCCATCTTCCCCAACTGTTACCAATCCGGATTTCTTACCAGGTCGTTTAAACAATGGACTGTGAGGTTTTCTTTTAGAGACCAACTGGAGAATGTGGTCCTACTGACCTTTAATCAAATAGAGCAAGAATGTAAGATAGGAACAACCTCTTGCATTACTTTCAGATAAGAGACTATGTCAATAACAAAACCAGTCCACTAAACAATGTCAAGGTCTCTGACACTGAAATTTTCTACAAGGAGTAATGTTTCAGTTAGCATGTTGTACAAAATTCAGAGGGTGTACTCTGGGACCAGGACAGCTGAGACAGACCTGGGAGAGCGGAAACATAATTCTGTATGTCCTCAAACAGAACATTTAGAATAATGTGAGAATAATGTGAGAAAAATAACAATTTGCAATTTAATGCATTACACCTTAAATTATGAACAGAACTTTTCTTTCACACTGCCCCTTTCAAACTTCAAGTCTGCCACTTCACTTTAATGTTGTAAGTGTAAAATAAACTGTCTTACACACATTTGAGTTCTCTGTGAATTGCAGAAAACTGAATTAAAACTGAGCTCAACCTGCTGTCTCTTCTCCTTGATCTCCCAAATATTTACATCTGTCTTTTCTGTGGCAGGAAAAAAATGTACTACTTAAGAGGATTTCTCATTAAACTCACCCAATCACTGGATGATACTGGAACACGCCCGTCATTATGTGCCTGGTCCAGTTTTAACAAGTTTTTAACAAGAACTTTTGCATAAAACTTCAAGCGATGGTCAAGCTGTGATAACTGAGTTACAAGGATAGATGAATGTCAAAAAGATGTGTGTCTTCCCCCTGCTAAGCCTAACTGTTATTGTTGTTATTAACAGGTGTACGACTTAAAAAAGCAAACACACATACAAAACCACACAGGTAAAGTACATTACCTCAAGTAAAGGAACGGGTGTGTGTTCTTGGGGAGATATGCAGCATAAACTGTCTCAATCGCTTTCTTCAAAGCGCTCGACTCCACCAGACGATCTGAGACATCGCAGAAGACAGCTTCATTTAACAGAAACACAGCAGCTAACAAGATTAAATGCTAACTGCTGTGTTTCCAGTAAGTTTCTGTGGTACGTACGGTTTATGAACAGGATCAAAATGCATTTCTTGACTGAATAGTTTGCGTTTGAGATGTAGCCTTTCATCTTATAAGCGAGCTTCTGATCTTCACAGGCAACCTCGATCAGCTCCCTGGGAACATAGCACAGAGCCGGTCATGCAATCAG